CCCAACGACACCAAGACAAACAGTTTTCGAGAAATCCAGATATTGTTAGAAACAGTATGTTAAAGGGTTTGATTATTTAGTTGCATCTTGCCTGAGCATGGAAGAGATATTAACATACTGTCAGCTCACAGGGACATAACCCAAAATAACTTACATATTTTCATATAGGGCTAATTATTTTTCTGAGGCTGGCTCAGGGTGCTAAGAGAGAGATTTCAAGGCTTTCAGCAGAGTATTTACTTAAAGAAGGTAAGCATGCCATTATCTGTTCCCAGGGAAACACAGTAAGTAATGGAAGAGACAGAGGAGGAGGTCACTCTGACCATAATTAATACAAAGATTAATGGTTTATATAGGATCTAGTCAGGGGTGCAGCAAGGTGCTGTAATGCCTTTAAGCCTCTTCTTCAGCAGTGCAATTTAATCTTTGGATCAATTTATATACACTTTGGTAATTTTAGTAGCCTAGTGCTAAGTTCTGAAATGGAAGTTAATCTTGTTTAGCAGAGTTTTTCCAACATTGTCATTTTGGTTTTGATCCAATCAGAAAATCCCTGTAACAGAATTTTCCTAAGGTCCTGAGCAAGTATAAACTGATGCCTACACTGGCCTTCCCCTCATGGAGGCCACAGCTCTCCTCACATGGCTTCACTATAAATAGCTGATGGGTGAATGAATGAATGGTAACCCAGAGGCATCCCTGGATTCAGCAGTGCCTTTAAAATCACCAAAGGAAAATTCAGTTGTGTTCAGAATAGTTTACATTTGAAGTGTCTTCACTGTATTCTTTTTTAAAATTTTTATTGAAAATTGGTAATCCACACGTTAGCTTAATATTCTGTTTATTGGAACACAGTGCAGTCCACAGGGATTCCTGCAAAAAGATGCATACTGTTGTTTATTTTTAATCCTTCTTGTTTGAATAGTGGATTGGTTGTGCTGTCTCTCAGGGGTCAGTTTTATCGCAGAAGCTTGATTATACATTGTTCAAAACTGTTTACTTGAATACAGTGTCCTAGACAGAATGAAAGAGAGAAAGGAAAGGGTGGTCCTTTTAAGTTTCTGAATTTTGAATACACTGAGAAATGATGTTAAGTTAGAAATTATTAGGATTTTGTTTCCTTTAGAGCGCTGGTCCAAGAAACTAATCTAGCTTCTTCCAGGAAGCTTCATCTGAGGGGCGGATGACGCTGAATACTGTTTACAAACAGGTGACCACAAGTTAAGTGGAGTCAATATATAATTTCTCACCCTTTAAAAGCAAACCACTTTGCTGCCACATGAGTAACCAACATTTTCTTAGCAAATATCAAGCTTGAAATTGTTTAATAAGGAATGTAAATCAGTTATATGCCCCAATTATAAAAACGTTGATGGGATTGGCTATGGTTTTGATTGGGGGTGGGGGGTGGGGGGGATGGAGTTACAGCTGCTGGGTTTTTTTAATCTTTTTTTATATGATGATATCACATTCGTATTCCAGAAATGCAAATGACACTGCATCCTACTCGGTAGGAACAGTGGTCAGTTGGCTTAAACCAAGAATAAGAAATGTCAGCCGTGCCGTTCCACAGGCTTGTAAGAGAAGCCCTAAAATAATGGATGGTGCACGTCCCTATATGTATTTATGTTCAGAAAATTTATTGAAATGTTGCTAGCACATGCTTTATAGCTGCTTGCGTTTTGCTACACAGATTTCAGCGTATCTTGCAGACTATGCAATTCATTTGGAAAATGTGATTTCCATCCCTGCATACTAATCGATTTCTTCACAAACACCTGCTATCAGTTATGGTAATAAAAATGCCACTCTGAATTGAGAAAGGGCCAGATAGAGCTTCCTAAGGAAATGACTTAAGTGTCTTTGAATGCTACTAAATGTAGTAATGTGCTTCTGTAGCGCCAACACTTTTTCCATCATTTGCATTTTCTGTAATTTTGCCCTATTACAACATCCCTCTCTTAAATGATGCCTCATAACCATTTCCTTAGGGGTTGGTAAACTGAATTGTCAGGAGTTGATACCTCAGGGTGTGGACAAGATCTGAAGTTGGGCTGTGCAGTGTTGAAAAAGCACTAGCTCATACTCCTGGGTATACCCTGGGTCATTTCCCATTGTTGGTTTTTTTTTTTTGCGGTACGCGGGCCTCTCACTGTTGTGACCTCTCCCGTTGCGGAGCACAGGCTCCGGACGCGCAGGCTCAGCGGCCATGGCTCACGGGCCCAGCCGCTCCGTGGCATGTGGGACCTTCCCGGACCGGGGCACGAACCCATGTGCCCTGCATCGGCAGGTGGACTCTCAACCAGTGCGCCACCAGGGAAGCCCCGTTTCCAATTTTATGTCAGTCCCTGAAAACTGTAAAATTGGCAGTTCCTCTGTTTTGCACACACATATACACCAAATAAAATTTCCTTTATTCATTCTCTTCAGCCTCCAGTTCATTCCACGCACCATTGCCAGACCAGTCTTCCTAAATCCCTGATTTCATCACGTCCTTCTGCCGCCTGGGCACCTTCAGTGGTTCTCAGTTGCCCTCCTCATTTGACCCTACCTCTCCAGCCTGACTTCTGAACCTCCATCCTCTCTCATCACCCGGCGTGGCTCAGCTTTCTCTCACTGCTTCCAGACAGACTCTTGCCTTTTGGTCAAGCTTCTCTGCTTCCTGCCCCAAATATTCTATCTTCAGTTCTCATCTCTGGGCTTTGCTGAGTGAGGTGCCCTTCCCCAGTTCTTGGGCTTTCACCCTTCAAAGCCCTCTTTTTTTTTTTTTAAGTAATTTATTTATTTTTGCTGTGTTGCGTCTTCGTTTCTGTGCGAGGGCTTTCTCTAGTTGCGGCAAGCGGGGGCCACTCTCCATCGCGGTGCACGGGCCTCTCACTGTCGCGGCCTCTCTTGTTGCGGAGCACAGGCTCCAGACGCGCAGGCTCAGTAGTTGTGGTGCACGGGCCCAGTTGCTCCGTGGCATGTGGGATCCTCCCAGACCAGGGCTCAAACCCGTGTCCCCTGCATTAGCAGGCAGATTCTCAACCACTGCGCCACCAGGGAAGCCCCAAAGCCCTCTTTTATTAATCCAGTCTGCCTTTTCCTTTCTCTTCTCTGAATCCCCGTAGGATGGATTCTCTTGCAATAAACCTTGACACTAAGTTAGTCACTTGTTTATCCAACCAACATTTATTGAGTGCCTACTATATGCCAGGCATCAGGCTCTTCTCTCTTGCTTTGAGTGTGTTCCTTTCAAACGTGTTGGTTTCTATTATATTTCAAGCTCCTTGAGAGAAGAGACATACTCTGTCTCCTTGTCTTGTGATCCAAGATGCCCAGACAGGCTCGGGCATGGAGTACATATGCAGTAACTGCTTGTCGACTAATTGATCCCTGATGGTTTGAGGTAGGGAATTTTCTGGTTAATTGCATGTTCTATTTGATTAGTATTTCAGTGTGTACTACACATAATCATTTTGCAAAGTAGAATACCATAAAACACTCAACTATAAAACTACTATTAACGTAATTTGATGGTTGATATTTAAGGAGAGAACTCACTGGGGTTTCAGAGCACCTCCGTACAGATCTGTCACCATCGCACGGTAATGTGTGGGTGGAACATCTGAGAGGCCGTCCTCGATTTGGCTCTGGGATTGGTATTGGATATGGTATGGGGTGCGGAAATGATCCTGGACCGAGAACCTGCTGGCCAGGGACTCCATACTCCATGCCATGCCCTTACCAACCGGAAGTTACTTCTTTAAAGAAGCTTCTGATAAGAAGCTTTTAAAATATCTTCACCTTTCTCTTGCTTACAAAAGTAGAGAATGGATTTTCTGAAGGAGGGGGGAAGGAAGCATGGGAAACTGGTGAGAAAGTAGAGGGGGAGCATTTGGAGTTCTTTTCAAACAGTCTGGTATGAACTAAACTCATCTGGCTGGCAGAATAGCCCAGTGACAGGGAGCAGAGGCTCTGGAGCCCAATCGGGGTTTGAAGGCTGTTGATGCTACTCTCTTTGTGGGATCAGACAAGTTCTCTAACTTCCCTGAGCTTCACTTTCTCATCTGTAAAGAGGGGGTGGTTAAGAGCAGCACCCACATCAGAGGCTTGATGGGGGGATGACGTGAGTTAGTTCACGGCCCAGCGTCTGTTGTACAGAGAGCGCTTAGGAGGCTATTGTGATTACTGCAGAGACCACCAAGCAGTAAGCTGGAAACGAGGGAAGGGAGTCGCCGTCCTCAATTTTGTTTTGAACCATTCACTCTGTTCTATTCCATTTCAGTTGTTTTCAGAGCCTTGAGATGCGTAAGACCCTGAATTAAGTGTCTCGGTTTCTCAGTCAGGTGGAGATGTGAGTGAGCTCTGAATTTGCACATAGAGAATTTCAGGTTTCAGGAGGGAGTATTAGGGTAGGAATCTGTTGGTGAAACAGATGGAACCAGGTCAGCATTCTGATAGGAGTCAGAGGGAACTAACTAACTGACTGACTCATGCAGTCAGTCTGACCCGGCAGTAGAGCAGGAAGGAACCGTGTGTGTGTGGATCAATCCCCAGCTCCCCTGGGCGGCTGCGGCTGCGTGCCTCCATTGGGGGGCCGCTGATAATTTGAAAGAAAGTGGCCCTCCAAGGAGCTAAGCCGTCCTGCCTTCCTGCCGAAAGGGAAAGGGCAGCCACGAGGTAGATAACGACAATTGCCTGGAGTTCTGAGCACTCTCATCACCTAGCAACACGGATCAGTTTCTGAGAGGGAGCCTAGGATCGGGGAAGAGATCAAGAGACAAGAATTTGGAAGGAGTCAATCCTGTGCCCACAATCATACATAAGACGGGACAAATAGAATAGTGAAAAATTCCCAAAGAAGCAATGCTCACCAGCTGCAAAATAAAGCACCCCAGGGTAGCTCATTTGGGTTTGGTACAAACATTAAGAATCCGATTTAGAATCCCTTTCGCACTGAAGGCTGCCCATCTAAGCGAGAAGGTCACTCACTTGAACTCATTCTGTTTGCCCCTCAGCCCTGGCTGCCCAGGCCTACGCGCTTAAAGAAGAGAACGACAGCCTCCGGTGGCAGCTGGACGCCTACAGGAACGAAGTGGAGCTGCTGAAGCAGGAGAAAGAGCAGCTGTTTCGAACGGAAGAAAACCTGACCAAGGACCAGCAGGTGCAGTTCCTGCAGCAGACCATGCAAGGCATGCAACAGGTACCTGCGCCCGCATTGGTGTCTTTGTTCTCGAGAGAAAGGGACGTGCGCGTATGCAGTGGCGGCTGTTTGCTGGGAAAGGTGGAGGAGAAAAAAGAACAGCAGAAAAGCTGAGTGGCTAGGTCAGGAAAGTGCTGATGACCGTGGAAGGGGAGGGTCAGGGGAGAAGCCACGCTAAAGAAATAGGTTGAAGCGCTACACCCTCGAAGTGGGAAGCAAAGGAAGAGAATCTAGGAGTTTGAAAGCTCCGTACATAAAATTTAGCCTCATGGCAAAAGGTCAGAAAATCCTTGCCAGTTGTGACCCCAGTGTTCTGTAATCTTAGAACTTCTCAAGTTAAAAGCAGGCAGACCGATTTCTACGAAAGCGTGGCGAGTCTGTTTTTGAGATCGATGAATACGTAAACTGTGTTATTTCCATTTCTCTTGGACGATACTTAGGATGTAGACCGGTTCTCTGAACACACTGTGTATTTCAGAAATGTTTGTTGATGGGATGGATGAAGCACTAAAATTTGGGGCGATAGGTAACTTCAGAAACAGGCCAGCATCTCTGCTTTTGTTAAAGATCGACAGGCTTCATCCTGGCACACTCAAGTTAAAGCTGGGTCTTTCCAGCTCATGGAAGAAAGAGATAGAAGCTGTGGGCTTTGGAGGAAGCGGAAGGAACGTGGACTGTGGGAAATGAGGGCTTGAGGGGGTGGGAAAAAACTGGGCACTGGCAGCAGAGGGTAGAATCAAAGAGTCGTAGCTGGGTTTATATCTGAAAACATTGATTGATACGTGATACTCTTAAGGTGTGTGAGTTATCTTAGAATAATATAGCCTAAATTATCATCACACGTGGTTATTTGTGTTACTCCTCTGAGTATATAAATCGAACCACTCTTTTCTGGAAAAAAAGATTGTTTTCTATAAACAAGGAAAATATAAGCAAGATGATGGGCAATTATATAGTGAGTAGGATTTTTTTTTCAAATTCCCCCACCAATATTGACTGCTCTCTAAGAGCAGGAGCCTGAATTGCCTACAAAAGTGTCTCGATGATTAGAGGTAACTGCTGCTAAAACCTCCGCCAAGCAGGGAAAAAATAATTGAGAGGAAGCGATGTAAAAAAGCGTGGATCGGGATACAAACAAGTTAATGACCAAGTCACAGAAATTCTGTCTTAAACATCTCCTGCCATTTAAAAGCAATTTTGGCGTCTTGGCTTTGAGTCCTAACTCGCTGATGCTCACAGTGTGTGTTAGACAAATCAGTGCGATTCAGAGGTCAGACCCAGCCAGGAAAGTGTCATTACCGGCGGGGCTCAGGCCCCCCGCACTTGGAAATCGGTGTTAACAGCTGCCGCGGGGAGCTCCCGGGGCTTGTCCATCTGTCCGCACGTTGGGGGTGAGTGGCGCCCTTGCCAGGAAGAGGAGCGTCCGCCGTCTCTCATACCTCATGCGTCGGGCCCTCTTTGCCTCCAGGAAAGATGACTCTGGTTGCATGAAAAGTTGATATAAACCTTTAAGCTGTATATATAAGTCCATGCCAGTCTCTCACTTCGTCCCAGCTGACCCTCCCCCTCCCCGTGTCCTCAAGTCCATTCTCAACGTCTGCGTCTTTATACTACCAAATGTAAAATAGCTAGCTAGTGGGAAGCAGCTGCATAGCACAGGGAGATCAGCTCGGTGCGTTGTGACTGCCTAGAGGGGTGGGATAGGGAGGGTGGGAGGGAGACGAAAGAGGGAGGGGATATGGGGACATATGTATACGTATAGCTGATTCACTTTGTTATACAGCAGAAACTAACACAACATTGTAAAGCAATTATACTCCGATAAAGATGTTATTAAAAAAAAAAAACCTTTAAGCTGGTTGAAGATTCAAATCTGAAAGAAGTCAGGATGCGAGGGTGAGCTAGCCAATCTGGAAGAAGCATGCGGGGTGTCAGCGCCCCTGCCCCAGTCCGCACTGGAGCCCCGCTGTGCATCCCCACGGAGCTCCAGCCCCTTAAAGGAGCAGTTCCGTTCTCGCAGCTTCTCATACATTTGCAGAATCTCCTTGTCCATAGGAAATGTGCTTTACTGTGTTTGTTTTGTTTGGGTAGGAATTTTGTTTGGGGGTTTGTTTTGGTTTGTTCTGGTTTGGTTTAAACCACAGAAAGTTATTGTCTCACAGTTCTGGACCTAGAAGTGCAAGAGCAGGGTGCTGGTAGGGTTGGCCCCTCTGTGGGCGGCGAGGGAGAGTCTGCTCCGGACTTTCCCCTTTCCTCCTCAGGTTTGCTGGCGAGCTTTGTCCTTCCTGGGCTTGTAGACGCATCACCCTGCTTTCTGCCTTCGTCTTCAGATGGCCTTCTCCCCGCGTGTGTGCCTGTGTCCCAATTTCCCCTTTTTATAAGGTCACAATTTGTATAGGATTAAGGGGCCCACACTATTCCAGTATGACCTCATCTTAACTAATGACATCTGCCGTGACCCTGTTTCCAAATAAGCTTGCATTCTGAAGTACAGCCTTTAGAACATCACCATATAAATTTGGGGGGACACAATTGAATATTTGTTGAATGGAGGAACGAATGGACAAAGGCACAGAGGCAAGAACTCGCCTGGTGCCTCTGGGGAGCTCTGGGTTGTTTAGGATTCTTGGATCATAAAGGGCAGGGCAGGGTGTGGGGAGAGGTGATGCCCTAGGGGTCTGCGTAGCACCTCCTTAGCACACAGAAAGCACTAGCGCAAAGGCAGCAGTTATGATTTCCATCTTCACTAGTCGTTAGCTGGATGCACAGCGATCACTGTGGCAACACATCTTTAATATAGTTTTTAAATATATGTGCTTATCTAAGAGTCATCTTTCTACCTTACCCGCTTTGAGTGAATCCCCACAACTTGCCAGTTTGAGCCCCACTGCAAGGAATTCTCCTGACTTTAAAACCCACCCTCAATCTGCCCTCTGTCCACTTTATAAGTCAGAAAAGCATCGTCTCCCAGGCAAGTCAACAGATAGAGGAGAGGGCTGGTCTCTCATAGGTCATTGCTTTAGCAATCCATATAGGGGAAATTATTTCTGCAACAAACAAGAATATAAACAGTCTTAACAGCCTTAAGACTAGCATAAAATTTTTAGAATTGTCTTCAAGTTTAGCCAAGAAGTTTCTAACCCTTCTTCTTTTCATCCCTGAAGCACATGTTCACTGACTTCCCATGGTTTCTCGTGAGTTCATGGAGGAAACTTTAAGGGCAGGGTTCTGAAAAATGAAAGAGCCTCGGGTGACTTTGTCTGGTTGTTTCTTAGCCTCCCCTTGCCTTGCATGTGAGTCACAATTTAATATTAGAGGTTTCACACGAAAGGAAATAATAGCTTGTATCCATGGTAACATGGTAGCCTTAACCTGATCTGAAGCTGGCAACAGAGTTAACCTGTCTCTGCCACAGGGAGAGTCAGGTTGCCGGCTTTCGTTTGTATCTTTAGGTATCCAAGACAAGCATACCCGTATTTGAAATTCTTATTTACCTTCAGGTTACCACACTGAATTATTTTCTTAGGTCGATCGAGGTAAAATGTACACACAATAAAAATACTCTTGTGAGGGTTCTGTGAGTTTTGACAAATTCATACCGTCATGTCACCATGGCGACCACAATCAATATATAAAATAATTCCATCACCGCCCCCCAAAGTTCCCTTATGCCCCTTTTTAGTCCACCCCACTCCCAGCACTCCCTGATTCGTTTTCTACCCTCATGGTTCTGCCTTTTCAGGAAAGTCATATAAGTGGAATCGTACTGTGTACAACCTCTAGAGCCTGGCTTCTGTCACTCAGCATAACGCATTTGGGATTCGTCTGTGTTGCTGTATGTGTCTGTTGTTCGTTCTTTCTATGCTGAATGGCATTCCGTGGTAAGGAAGAGCCATGCTTTGTTTATCTAGTCACCAGTTAATGGACATTTGGGTGGTTTCCTGTTTGAGGCCAATATGAATGAATCTGCTATAAACATTCACTTACAGGCTCTTTGTTTGGACATAATCTTTCATCTCACTTGGGTAAATACCTAGGAGTAGGATTGCTGGGTCATATGGTAAGTGTGTTTGACATTTTAAGAAAATGCTAAACTGTTTTCCTAAGTGTCTTCCCATTGTGCTTTCCCGAGGGTTTACATGAGAATTACAGTTGTTCTGTGTCCTTATCAGCCAGCACTTGGAATGGCCAGTTGGTTTCTGTTTTATTTTACTCTGTCTTTTTTAGCCACTATAATACGCGTATATTAGTATCTCGTTATGGTTTTAACCACACCTGAATTTAAACAGGATCTGTATTTTTATTCACAAGGATAAGTCAGTATGTCATATTTCTAAATAACCAACTTAAAAATCAGAATTCTTTTTGAAGCCATGTGTAAATCATGTTGATAGGACTGGTAAATATTTAGATGATAAGAGGATACCATTATAAGCTGCTGGTTATAAAACTGTGAGTGACTAATGATAATTATGTCAGAAGGGTCCCAGCTGATGCTGTTTAATGCTGTTAGCAAATGTCATCTGAAGACCAGCTGTCTTAGGCCAGTAAACCATTAGCCCACGTAGAACTCTCTAACTCACTTGGCTTGCCATTATTAAAGACCAGGGCTAGTCAGCTGTCTAGACAATTTTCAGCAAGGGAGACCAGGGAAAAAAATTGGGGGAAAGAGGACTATTACGACCAACACCATTTTAGAAATTAAGTAATTGGTTTTTTTCCCTTATGCTCAAAGAGGAGTAGATGTGGGATTCTCTGTTTGTGTATTACAAAAGCTAATCTAGACTAATTTTATAGAAGAGGACAGAGAAATACAATAATGTTACTTTCTTAAAATACAAAGTAACCCCAGCTAGTTTTGCCAAAAGTTGGTCAAGGATTGGTCTTTGGGATATATATTAAGAAATAAATGAAAGTGTGTTGAAATGAGAACATCAGTGAGTGCATCTATCTGACCACTTAAGGAAAGTTAAGCATCTCTTGTGAAATCTCCTTTAAAC